GAAGATATTTTGAAATTACGCTAGGATAAATGATTCAATTTTTGTTTAGAGATTTTATGGAGAAGTAAGTCAATGGTAAACTTAAAATTAAAACAAATTTTTTATTTCAAAATTAGTTATCTTTATTTCTTTCAGTATTTCTTTTAAATATCCAAAAATAATATCAATCAGATGGCAGATTAGTAAAACCGAGTTAAGTCCAAAAAATCAAAAGTACGCAAACTTTTGCACGATACTGCATTATATGTATATACATACATATACATATACACACACTATACTGTACGACTATATTAGTAATTTATATTTATTTTTATCTGAAATATTTTTTTATATAAAACTAACATGTTTCGAGATATCTCGCCCCGTCCCGGATTATATTAAAGGAATTATATTAAATAGACAATAGTTCCGGAAAGATATAAAACAATTTTAACTTTTTTGCATGTATGTGAGAAATAACACTTCAAATATTGTAATAATAAAATATCTATGTTCTAAGATGTATGTGATTTAGTAATTAAAGTCAAAAGTTTTCTATGCAATCGCACTTGTCATTTATTTGCACATAAAGATAATATTATTTTGTAAAAATGCACAATGATACAATGTTTGAAACTTTATGGCTAAGCTGAGAAATCCTCAAAATGATTCGTATTTAAAAGAAGAAGAAAACGTAACAATTTCTTAATTCACATAAGGCCGATCTCGAAAGCAAAGCCTAAAATGGATCTTACAATATTACGAACTTGCCACACTTTTTTATTACTATTAACTGTTTATTTAGAAATACATAAAAGATTTAAGAGCTGAAGAAGTTAAGTCAAAGTTGACCGGATCCATTAGACTTTTATAACGTAACCTAGTCTGATTAAATAATGGATATATATTTCTATTATATTCCTAATTCTATATTTATGATAATCCGTAAAGTTTTAATGTCCTATCCATGCTGGTAGACGCAATGTATTGTGCATGCTTTCCGAAACGAACTCCGGTGGCCGCCGCTGTATGATCGTTCAGGACCTTCAATTCCTGCCATTGCTTACAGAGATATACTCTGAAAACAATAGGACATATATGTATAATACAAGCAACCTTAAATTAATTCACGTTATTCAATATTAACACATATGGTGAATAATATCAAATATTAAAATATTTATTATATTCGCTACTGATTGTGAGGCAATAAAACACAAAAAGTTTTTTTTAAAATTCTCGATTTTTTAAAATATGAAACATCCTGTATTTACTAATTACTATATATAATTAATTTTTAATTATATATTAGGATCAATATTTTAGAATAATTAATAATTATCAATAACTAATAAATTTAGTATTTTTACCTGACATCCGTTCCTGCCACAGCCAAATAAGTCTCACTTTGATCAAAACAAATATTTTTTACTTTATAGGATTCCTCCAACTGCAATGTCTTAAAGTTTTTCAGCTGGCGCAAATCCCAAAGTTTGACGCAAGAATCTTCCGCAGCTGTCGCCAAGTAATATCCATTCTCAGCAAAATTAATGGCTGTGATTACACCCGTATGCCCCGGAAAGTTTGCAACATTAGATTGCTCTTTCAAATCTTAGACCTTTACCTGAGAGTTCGCAGTACCAGTGCCGAAGATTAAACCGTCAGGATGACATTGCAGCGTTGTCAATGCTTGTCACCTGCTTGTCCTGCAACCTTTAAACAGTTCACGATAAGTATGGAAAAAAAAGAGAATGAAAGAGAGGGAAAAGAGAGAAGAAAAGGGTAGAACCTTTTATTCTTTCTAAATTAAAAGCAATTTTATGATTAAATATGAATAGTATAACATTATATAAATTTATACAAGCTTTGAAAATAAATTCCTAAAAATTCCAGATCTTTATAGGTAATACATACATTTATTTTTTAAATATATTTAAAATATACAGCAATTTTTTTCTTACAACTATGACGGGTCAAATTCTTTTTATATTTCAGTTTCTTGTGACATATATCGCAGACATAATCATGGACGTGCACTATTTTGTGATGTTCCTCCAAGGCTTTTTTACTCGATAAGTGACGTCGGCAAATCTCACATGCCACACTGTTGCTTTTATGCCTCGAACGCATCCTCACCTGCGAGTGAAAAATCTTACCGCAAGTGTCGCAAGGAATATTCCATAATTGTAAAAGAGAACAACATTCAAGAGAAGCGAGAAACATTAATAGAGATTTTTTATAATTGTAATAGAGATCATACACAATTATGCATTAACAAGTTATTAATAACTTGTTAATTAAGATATCGAAGAACTTTATGTGATCATTTTTACATTAAGTTTAGCTGTTTTTACAAACGCAGAACAAAAACTAAAAGTTATATTAAAGCGTTTTGTCGTTTATGTTGCAGAGTCACTTAGAGATCAAATTCAAGTGCCCGATCTATCTATACTATACAACTATCAAACATACAACGATCTGATAATATAATAATGATATAATGCCGATCTATATTTGTTATTATTATTTATTAATTACGGCATTATATGCAATAACAACGACGTAGTAATTATGTACGTAATGATAATATACTGTATGTGCAACGTTGCACGTATGTACAATGTAATGACCATTGTTACTTGACAAAATCAAAAACGCGCGATTGTACGGCGAGCATTGTTACGTGTGTCTCATTGTGAGATCGCAGGCCGCAGCCGTCCATTAATTTAACTTTTAAATGCCACACCTCTGAATAATCTCGTAAATGACATGAGGGGTCTAAAAGACCCCAGCATGAAAAATGTCTCCTTACTCATTAATTTTTTTATCTTTAGTTATGAAATTTTTTTTCAATGTTGTTCAAGGTCTAGAAAAGAGAATAAAATGCTTATATTGTTAAAATTTCAATTTCAACATAGTATAAAAAATTAAGTAAACTGAGTACTACTAAGTGTACACACTGGTAGTTCAATCACTCAGCTATCATCAATGGGAGCATGAGCTCCATTTTTGACGGGAACATTTGAAAATATATAATTGTAAAGGGTCTGGGGTCCTCTGGACCCCGGGTGGCATTTAAGGGTTAACACGCAAGTCGTATTACATAAAGTGCGTAACGACACGTCTCAGTTCGCGGATAACTTGCCTAAATTCGCTCGCGACAATGTCTGAACGACTTAATTTTTCGCATCACGGTGTAAGAGAAAAAAAACCTCTTTTTTTTTCGCGGCAACTCGCGAAAAGTGAGCTAACGGACGTGCGAGAAAATTCTCTCACCACTTATGCCAATTTCTCATAATACGACGACACGGCGCATTTTACTCCGCGTTATTAACATATATCTACACGAGTTTTGCTCGATTTAAAAATAAAAAGTCTCTTTTGCGACTTAAATTTTTCTCCCGAATATGTAAAAATAGATTGTTTTTATTTTAAAATTTAAATTTTTCTTTTGATGCAAAAGTTGAAGATTTTAGCACTTATAAGCTTACTTTCAATGGAAAAATGGAAGATTTCTACTTTGAGAATTTAGAGACTTTTTTTTTGTTTTCACGTCGAAATAGAAAGAAGTATTTCCGTCTCAGAAATCTCTTTTGATACAAGCGTAGAAAGTTATTGCTGCCTTTGAGACTTGTTGTTTGATGGTGTTTAACAGGTCTTTCGTTATTTGCCGCGGCATCGTTTTGCATTGTAGACCGTTTGCTTGGATTTCAGCACCCGATACAGCAGATACCGCAAAATAATCTTCAACAAAATAACGCTCAGAGCCTGCAGCGGGACAATATGCCGAGAAGAACGGATGTGAAGCCAAGAGGACGGATGACAGCGTACACGTACTTCGTCAAGTCATGTCACCAGGAGCATAAAAAGAAGCATCCCAAGAGGAAGATTTACCCCCAGTTTTTCGCCAAAAATTGTGGAAAGAGGTGGAAGGTGAGATTTTTTTTTCAGCTCAAACTACTCGCTATAATTCATTACAAATCACATTTTTATAGATATTCCAGCAAACACCAAGTAATATGCAGGAATAATATCGTATATGTATGAAAACATAAGTAATTTTTTTATCTTAATACTATACGTAAATAAATTTGAAATAGATTAATAGAGCTCCTTGCTAACGCTAGGATCAAGAGAGTCCTTGTAAGAACTAACTTCGAAGCGATCACGATACTTGGTTGGACTTCTCCGCATGTCGGTTTCACAGCCCGAGGTGCGAACGAGATAAGCGGAATGCGTAACGTTTTGTCGAATGTCCTGCTTGTGGTCACGCGAGAGCCACTTTGATGTTAGCCTCTGAATAAATACGTGCGCTCGATAAACGCCACGTGCAAGTACGGTATTTAAGCGCGTCGTTACGGGCCGACCTGTCCCGCCTCGTTAAGCCGTCAATCTTCATCTCGTCCAGCAGAATCAAGATTATCGATAAGTAAAACGGATCCGATACACGGCAAAAACCTCCCGCGTCGTGACGCCGTCATTAAAAAACTGTGACTTTAGAGTATCTCTATTATCCTGCGTGCACGCGACTGTGAATATGCCAGGTCGGTCGGGGAACACTTATTTTCTCAGTAATAGAACATTTTAACGCACGTGAATATGCGAGATCAACCGTATGGAAACGCTAACGCTATACGAAATACCGTATGTGTCGTAGACTATGTCGGACATCGAGAAGAAGCGTTTCCACGAAATGGCAGAGAAGGACAAGAAGAGATACGACACGGAGATGCAGAACTATACGCCGCCTAAGGGAGAGAATAAGGGCAGGGGCAAGAAACGCAAACACATCAAGGATCACAATGCTCCCAAGAGATCGCTGTAAGCCCTCACGCTGTTTAATACATAATGTATCTCGATCTCGAGAAAAGAATTTGCTTGATTAATATTTAAACACGCAGCGAGAAAAGTTAACTTGTAAATTCGAACGGAAACAAAAGTTTAACTTTTTTTAAAGCTTTATTCGCATTTTTAGTCATTTCTGGAATCTCGGCTTCCCGCAAATTTATTTCTTTAAAGTAAAGTTGCAATTGTTTTTCTGAAAATTAAATTTACAGAGCAATTTCTCAAAACTACATTCAAATTTAGATTATTTTCGAATTATACATTATAATTTTCTTTAGTCTCTATAAAAGATTGGTTTAGCATATTATCGCAGCACAAACCCTTTGAATAATAGCAGATAGATTTAATAATTAATTTCATCAGGTCTGCTTTCTTCTGGTTCTGCAACGATGAACGCGGAAAGGTCAAAATGCTGAATCCTGAATATGGCGTAGGCGATATAGCTAAGGAATTAGGCAAGAAATGGTCGAACGCAGATCCCGAAACCAAATCCAAATACGAGGCTATGGCAGAGAAGGACAAGGCTCGATACGAAAGGGTAACGTATCTAAATTTAGCACAATCTTACGCTTTTAACCATTAAGACTCCTAGCCCCGGTAATGTTATCATGTAACGTCAGAAGCTAAAAGTCATGAATTTTCTTATACTATATAGTCGGAATATATTACTCTTTTTTTTTGCACAACTTGCAACTCGAATCTGATTGAATTGATTTACGAGATGAATGTCCAAGCGTTTTCGAAATAAAGATGAAATATTTCAAGATGAAATATTGAAATATTCTTTTTTTCCTCGCAGGAAGTGAGAAACGCGTATAAAAAGAAAATACAAAACAACGGCGCTCCGGTGGTCGAAACTATAACAATAAGCGACAGCGAATGGGAGGAATGGGAGGACGTCGAGGACGACGACGAATAGCGGATGCACGTCGAAATTTCTTCATCTATCACCCCGTGTCCTTCATCCTGAAAGCATACCTCACCTACTGTACTGTACCATTGACCTTAGCGTAAGCGTACTTACACCACCATCACTAGGAAAACGAAGCAACTAATCACCAAGCAACCTAACAATCAACCAAGAAGCTTTCTTCAACAATCCCCCACCAACCAACCTTCTAATTCTTTCCCCGATTATTTACGATAATGATAAAGTAATCCGCGCTAATTATGGTAATTATTTTAAAAGGAAAAACTGGTATGCATGAGTGGTGCGCGAGCGTGAGCGAGAGAGGATCATTGTGTTAGTGAACATTTGTACTTTAACATATTGATAGTAACGATGATGTAAAGCGGCTAGTAAGATATAGCGGAAGATAATGGAAGAAAAAAAAATAAGTAAAATGAGAAATTATGAGTAAAATGCAAAAGCGGAAGAGATAAGACGTGGCAGAATGCCCAATACTTTCTCTATCCGGATGGAAGGCGCAGGGGCTCAATCACTGTTGACTTTGTGCTCTGTCGACGCTATATTACGAGCTATGTAGCTTAGTTTACTAATGACGAAATGCCGCGATAATGACGGCCTCCGTAGGGCGGGGATCGGAGATGGCTGTAGTTCTTTTTGCCGTGTTCTTTCGGATTTTATCCGGTCATGCGAGGATTGTGTCCTTTTGTGTCTTTTTCACGCATTGCCATCGGCACTGGTGAGAAAGACAGAGAGCTCTCTCGGATCCTCGCTTTCGAAAGAAGCGAATCATGTCGCGTCGTTGCAAAATTAATATACTTTTTTGGGGAACTCTTTTTTTAGTTCAATTCAATTCAGTTTAGTCCAGGTCTGTTCTGTAAGTTCTGTTCACTTGTTGCCAGCGTCGTTATGGCATGAACACACATACATACATATATATACATACATATGTGTATATATATATATATATATATATATATACACACACATACATATGTATATACACATACATATGTATATACACATACATATGTATATACACACGCAGACACGTACAGACAATTGTTGTATTATACAGACTTTGTACAGAGAGCTTTATTTTTTTCTTTCCTATATTTTTAGAGAAGCGATTATGTTGAGCGCGCGTGATGGAACATGAGGCCGCTTTACGCATATTTGCAAATATATAATTGATTTTATCGAGGTACACACATGTGTGTGTGTGTGTGTGTCTCTCTTATATAGCTGTAAGTACGTTTAGAATTAAGTATACGTGTATCACTTAACGCAGACTTGAATTTTCCGGCGACTCTCTATGTCTTTTTTTTTTAAGCATGTACTTTTTTTCAACATTTACACGGCAGTGTTACAAGCCACGAGCCACCACGTGATTGAGCCTTAATTACGTAGCCGATAAACGATCGCCCCGAATGGAATCGGGAGAAATTGTGTGCGAGAGAAAAAGAGAGTGCGTGTGTATGTAGCTCGCAGCCTCTCTATTAAATCATTGGATATGAGATGTCACTCATGGATTCATATGTCACTTCTTGCTAAAGTAAGAATTAATTATAAGCATAATTTAGAAATGGTTTATTGTATAAATCACGTGAACGAATCATGTGAGAAAAGTGAATAATTGTATCCAAAATTTCACGTCCGCAAATATATAGTTGGAAATATGTATCTTTTTATATCTTTTTATCTCTTAAGTTTCCTACATTTTTGATCAGCATGATTTTGTGAACTTTTATTAGACTTGTGAACTTTATTCACTTTTTATGGATTTTTTTTCAAGATATATATTGACCGAGTTTTCTGAATTATTGTATAAGTTATATGAATCATATATTTTCCAAAAAATTAAAATCATGGATGTACATATAAAACCGACATTTCATATCATGTGCAAGGGCCTAATATTAAATCAAAATCAGTAGCACGATATTTTAGCATCTCGTCGGAACTGTAACGGTGCCGCCGCGCGTGTGTCACAAATAAAAAATTAATTCAGTAACTTGGACGTCTATACAGAATTAGAAGATATTTTGAAATTACACTAGGATAAATGATTCCATTTTTGTTTGGAGATTTTATGGAGAAGTAAGTCAATGGTAAACTTAAAATTAAAACAAATTTTTTTATTTCAAAATTAGTTATTTTCATTTCTTTTAGTATTTCTTTTAAATGTCCAAAAATATAAGATTAATCCGATGGCAGATTAGTAAAACCAAGTTAAGTCCAAAAAATCAAAAGTACGCAAATTTTTGCACGATACTGTATTATATGTATATACACACATATAATATACACACACCACTGTACGACTATATTAGTAATTTATATTTATTTTTATCTGAAATATTTTTTTATATAAAACATGTTTCGAGATATCTCGCCCCGTCCCGGATTATATTAAAGGAATTATATTAAATAGACAATAATTCCGGAAAGATGTAAAACAATTTTAACTTTTTTGCTTTAATTTTTCTTTTTTTTTCCTGTTATTCGAATATATGTATATAATATACATTTTAAATTAATTTTGATATCTGTTATTGCCATATCTTAGTACTAAAAATACTTCTTCGTTATATTGAAATTTTGTAGCAGAACCTTCACAGAACGCGAAAAGAAAGCTGAAGAAGAATGATTTCTATGCGAGCAAACACGATACTACAGTGAAAGACATTGCCGCCGCATGTAAGACTTCAAAATCAGTCGTACAACATGTATTAAAAAAATTACGACTATGCATGAGGACCGCAAAATTGTTCGTCTTTCAAAAAAAAAAAACCGCTGATGCACCGCTACCGAAATCTAAGACAAATTTTCGAGTTTCCATGACAAAAATCTATCAATTAATGTTATTATAAGGCTTAAAGGACGCTAGTTTATTTGAAGAACGATCCGTCAGAAGCCCGGCAAATGTTAATTAAAAAAAAAAGAAAAAAAAAGAAAGCAAGATTTGCAATGGCACATTTAACATAGAAACATTGGACTGACAACGAACGGAAAAGGATTATCTGGACTAATCTGGAGCGATGAATTCAAGTATCTGCTTGAAACAATGAAATACGATATATTTAATGTCCTTCTGGCAAAAGATTTAATTAACGTTACCAAGTTCCGACTGTAAAACATGGAGGCGGAAATATGGGGTTGCTTTCATGGAGAAGGAATGGGACCATTGCATCGCATAACGGATATTCCTATAACTGCCGAAGGCTACGTGAATGTTTTATCTTTTGCAATTAAAAATTTGACCACTAAATAGATTTTTTTTTTAGATGACAATGATCCAAAACATGCAAAATTTGTTGTAATGTAATTTAATAATTTCTTCCAAAGTTCATCTGTACAACCATTTGTCTTCTCAAAAAGTATTATCACATTTTCTTACCGATTCTTATTTTTTCCTATTATTTAATGCATGTATTTGTACACATTTAATAGACCTTTTTTTGCATATATAGGTGAAATTTTGTTAAAAAAAAAATGTATGTGAGAAATAACACTTCAAATATTGTAATAATAAAATATCAATTTTCTAAGATGTGATTTAGCAATTAAAGACAAAAGTTTTGTATGCAATCGCACTTGATTTTATTTGCACGTAAAGATAAATATATTTTTGTAAAAATGCACAATGAGAGAGATACAACGTTTAAAATTTTATAGCTAACCTGAGAAATCCTCAAAATGATTTGTATTTGAAAGAAAAAAAACGTAACAAAATTCCTAATTCACATAAGGCCGATCTCGAAAGCAAAGCTTAAAATGGATCTTACAATATTACGAACCTGCCACATTCTTTTATTACTATAAACTTTTTATTTAGAAATACATAAAAGATTTAAAAACTGAAAAAGTTAACTCACACTTGACCGGATCCATTAGACTTTTATAACGTAACCTAGTCTGATTAAATAATGGATATATATTTCTATATATTCCTAAATTTATATTCATGATAATCCGTAAAGTTTTAATGTCCTATCCATGCTGGTAGACGCAATGTATTGTGCATGCTTTCCGAAACGAACCCCGGTGGCCGCCGCTGTGTGATCGTTCAGGACCTTCAATTCCTGCCATTGCTTACAGAGATATACCCTGAAAACAACACGACACATATAATACAGGCAACCTTAAATTAATTCACGTTATTCAATATTAAAACATATGGTGAATAATATCAAATATTAAAATATTTGATATATTCGCTACTGATTGTGAGACAATAACACAAGTGTTATTTAAAATTCTCCATTTTTTTAAATATGAAACATTCTGTATTTACTAATTACTATATATTAGTATCATTATTTTAAAATAATTAATAATTATCAATAACCAATAAATTCAGTATTTTACCTGACATCCGTTCCTGCCACAGCCAAGTAAGTCCCACTTTGATCAAAACAAATATCCTTCACTTCATAGGATTCCTCCAACTGCAATGTCTTAAAGTTCTTCAGCTTGCGCAAATCCCAAAGTTTGACGCAAGAATCTTCCGCAGCTGTCGCCAAGTAATATCCATTCTCAGAGAAACTAATGGCTGTGATTACACCCGTATGTCCCGGAAAGTTCGCAACATTAGATTGTTCTTTCAAATCCCAGATTTTCACCTGAGAGTCCGCTGTACCAGTGCCAAAGATTAAACCGTCAGGATGAAATTGCGCCGTTGTCAATGGTTGTCCTGCTTGTCCTGCAACCTTTAAACAGTTCACGATAAGTATGGGAAAAAAGAGAATGGAAGAGAAAAAAGGGGTAGAACCTTTTATTCTTTCTAAACTAAAAACAATTTTATGATTAAATATAACAGTACATTAGTTTAAAACATACTTTAGTTAGTAATCTGCCAGTACGTATATCTGAAAAGGCCCAATGCTGATCCAGGGAGGAGCTTAGTAAATAATCGCCGGTTGGATGTAGAGACAATCCGGTCACAGGTGCATCATGAGCTTTTAATAACAATGTCGTTTGACTGGTACCAACATTCCACACGCGAATTGTAGCATCGGGTGATGCAGTCATCACTACATCTTCCTCTGGATGATAAATAACTCGTGTAACCTATGAGGATGATAGAAAGCAATTAATATGTTTTAAGAAATAATAAAACGGCAATTCAAGTTGTAATTGCGCACTTTTTTCGTGTGACCTTTGAGGATTGCCACCACTTGTTCGGTATCCTTGTTGAAAACAGTGGCATTCTTGTCGGCACCACCTGTTAAAATCTTGCTGGTATCAGCACTGTGAATATCAAGCGCCAGAATTCCAGGCACACTGGCAGAATGAAGTCCCTGAAATTATATAATTATTTTCGATGATAATAATAATAACTCGTTTTTATTTCCATAAAATTAAAAATCTTTGAAATTATCGTATGTGATTATATATTATTAGAATTATATTTTTTAATGCAACTT